AGAGAAAAACTAACCTTTTGCTCAACTGTCTCAAGGAAAAACTACTGAAATGTCCTTGTGGCTAGCATTTATAATTTTCCAGTTACATAACGCACGTTCCATCCATCTAAGGACACACACAACTGTTGCTGGAGTTTAACCAGCTAACATCATGCAGGTCATCAATAATCAAGGTTACATACAGCCAAATCGGAAGTATCCCAACAGCAACAGATCTAACCCTCACAGTGACATCAGTGAGCCAAAATAACTGGCTAGTGATTCTCTTCTTTGCTTTTGGATTAACTCAATTCCAATCTCCTATTGACAGATCTCATCTTGGAGCCAACTTCTTCACGAAGAGATGGTACCTTCCTCGCCACCATTCTAGAAGGACAATTTCTAGTTTAGAAATTATTTTAAAATTGTAGAGACTGCTTATATATCAGGTGATCATCCCTACACTTTCGTCATGATCATTTACATATATTTTTTGCTTTTCAGTTGAAGATACGAATCACATAACCTAAGTTGATTTACTTGTTGATGATGCAATCGTGACCTCTGCAAATTCCAATGAGAAAATACTGAAGAAAATTAATGTAGTACATCTACACTGAGATAGTTTGGCAACACAGAGTATGCATTAGGCACTGATCAGTGTTAAGAAAATACTTGATAAGAAGCAAACACAGAACAAGATTAATAACATGATGTTTGGGCTCATATTAATACATCTCACAAATGCTGCAGTGAGTAGTGTCACATCATGGTAGGGTAGAATGTTTATGTTCTAACTTCCCAGATAATGAGCTCCGAATCTCAGAAATGATTTCAGGAAGAAGTGACAAATGCACACCAGCTGTTTCTCCAGAGTCAAGCAAAGTCACACTGATGAGTCACCAGGGCTACTGTTGTATCCTTCCAACATCTAACAGTAAACTTGTGACGGATGTCTGGGAATAAGTTGCTGGAATCATTAATTCTTGCCTAAAAGTGACTTATGGGAAAGAAAATGTGTGCATTAGAACAGGAAATGATGATGAGGTTGACAAATACATTCAATTTATTTAACATTTGGAAAAAATCTTGAAATGTCAAGGACTAAACATCAGTGCTCTACTATAGAAGTACTCCTGTCATGGTACATGGGCACATAAATGGTGGACCAAGGTTCTCCACTACAGAGGATGGAATGCAGGATCACGTATCATTCTCCAAAAATAGTGATTCTCACTTCAGCCATGCTCTTATCAAAAGTGTAGTGGGATGGAGCTGCATACTGGAAGTTCCCACAAACATCAACATGATGATGACCTACCTCACTGTTTTAATAATGTTGGTCGGAGGAATAATCTCTTAATTCCATTCATTTTCATCAAGATGGCATCATCTATAAGTAATTCGATTTAAGTTGGTTGTGATTCATACTTTCTTTTAAAATTCAAAAGCAAAATTTGTCTATGAGATGTCAACCTACTGAAGCTACGAAACAGGACTACCAAACTTGCGTGCCAAGAAGCATAAGCAGAAAATGATAGATAGGGCTAAGTGATCCCACAACCAATGAGTCAGATCTAAGCTCTGCAGTCCTGCCACATTCAGCCATGAATTGACAATTAAACAATTTACCAGAGGAGGCTCCATAAACATCCCATCCTCAATGATGGAAGAGCCTAACACATTAGCGCAAAAGGTAAGGCTGAAGCATTTGCAGCAATCTTCAGCCAAAATAGTCAAGTGGATAATCCATCTCAGCCTCCTCCAGTGGTCCCCAGCATTACAGATACCAGCTTTCAGCCAATTCGATTCAATCCATGTGATATCAAGAACAGTTGAAGGCACTGGATCCTGAAAGGGCTATGGGCCCTGACAACATTCCAGCAATAGTACTAAAGAACTGTGCTCCAGAACTTGCCACTCCACTAGCTAAGCTGTTGTAGTACAGTTACAACACTGGCATTTACCCAACAATATGGAAGATTTCCCACGTATGTCCTGTACACAAAAAGCAGGACAAATCCAACCTGGCCAATTACCATCCCATCAGTTTATTCTCAATCATCAGTAAAGTGATGGAAGGTATCAGCAGTGCTAACAAGCTACACCTGCTCAGTGATGCCCAGTTCGGGTTCCAACAGGGCCACTCAGCTCCTGACTTCATTACAGCCTTGGCCCAAATATGGACAAAAGAGCTGAATTGTAGAGGTGAGGTGAGGTGAGAGTGACAGTCCTTTACATCAAGGCTGCTTTCAACTGAGTGTGGAAGCAAGGAGCCCTAGCAAAACTGGAATCAATGTGTATCGAGGGCAAATTCTCTGTTGGTTGGAGTCGTACCTGGCACATGGGAAAATGATTGTAATTGTTGAAGTCAGTCATCTAAGCTCCAGGATATCTCTGCAGGAGTGCCTCAGAGGAGTGTCCTAGGCCCAACCATCTTCAGCTGCTTCCTCAATTACCTTCCCTCCATCATTAGCTCAGAAGTTGGGATGTTCACCGATGATCGCACAATGTTCAACACTATTCATGACTCCTCAGTACTGAAGCAGCCCATGTTCAAATGCAACAAGATCTGGACAATGTCCAGGTTTGGGCTGACAAATGGCAAGTGACATTCACATCAGACAAATGCCAGGCAATTGCCATCTCCAAAAAGAGACAGTCACCACTCCTTGACATTCAATGGTATTAGTATCAATGAATCCCCCACTGTCAACATCCTCTAGTTACTACAGGCCAGAAACTCAATTGGACTTGTCACATAAACAGTGACAACAAGTGTAGGTCAGAGGCTAAGAATACTGCAGCAAGTAACTAACCTCCTGACTCCCCACAGCCTGTTCATCATCTACAAGGCACAAGTCAAGAGTGCGAAGGAATACTCCCCAGTTGCCTGGATGGGTGCAGCTCCAACACTCAAGGAGCTTGACACCATCCAGGACAAAGCAGCCCGCTTGATTGGTACCACATCCACTCCCTCCACCACCAATGCTCAGTAGCAACTGTACTGTACGTATTTTCTACAAGATGCACTGCAGAAATTCACCAAAGATCCTTAAACAGCACTTTCCAAACACAGGACCAATTCCATCTAGAAGGACAAAGATAACAGATACATGGGGATACTACCACCTCCAAATTCCCCTCCAAACCACTCACCATCCTGACCTCAAAATATATCTCAATTCCTTCAGAGTCACTGGGTCTAGATCCTGGAATTCCCTCCCCAAAGGCATTTTGGATCTACTTACACCAAATAGATTGCAGCAGTTCCAGAAGGAAGCTCACCACGGGCAACTAAGAATGGGCTATAAAGTCCCATGAGTAAATTTAAAAAGTTAGTAACCACTTGCAGAAATATATGTTAAATGCTTTTAGCTGTGTGCCGATGGTGCGTATTAGCTAGGGTTTCACTGTGCCTCTATGAGTAGGCAGAAACTGAAACTGTGGTTGAGTTACGGGGTGCTTGCTTGTGACACGTAAATCTGCAAGTGTTCGTAGAAGTGCATAAACATTGGCTCCAGTTCTATTCTGCTTCATTTGCTTTCTGGGATGTACTAATTCTGTCCCTTTATCTTGACTGAGCAATACATTTTGCTGATTCAATGTGCACGCAGGGAGTAGCACTTTCTAGGGAACTGGCACTGTGATTAAACATCTAAATTAATTTGCAGAAAGCCAGGAACAACTGTTTCTGTATTCAGGATTGGCTATCATTGGCCTGGACACTTCTACAGTTAAAAGTACACAGTGTACGGGAGTTAGCCAGGCATCACTCTCTGACCTTTACCTGCTGCCGAGGATTTAATAGTGCAATCTCTATACTTCCGTGTCAGACGCTTCAAAAACACGTCTCGTTTAAGGGGTGGGGGTTACTTCCTTTTATATCTTTGCTCTTTAAACAGATTTCTGTAAGTTCGCAAATAATCAGTGAAATGTCGAAGGCTTTTACTAATTATAACGCCACACCAAAACTTCTTAAAACACGCTGTTAGCACTGTTCAGAGTAGGTGTTGGGAAACCAGGTACGGTGTCGCCTGTTCATATGGCCACACACACATCTTGCAATGTCAGGGTATTTATTATTCACAGAAGGTAAAACCAACAAGGGCGCTGGGTGCTTGATCACTCAGTCAAGGCGGAATCCGATAGAAACGGGCACGTTTGGAGATCAAGAGCAAACCGGAGTCAGTGGAGCTTGAAAAAAAAACAAAATAAGTAAAACCTAAAGAGGTCGAACAGCAAAATCATGGCAGTTTCCACTCGACCAACCCAATACCACAGACATCAGAAAGATTAAGCTGGGGGGGGTGGGAAGGAAGAGAGAGAGACCAGAAATCATCTGGTTTCAATCACAGCTGAATCACATTACTGCAGTGGCGCGGACACGGCTTAGCCCTTTCACTGAGGAGTTATTACAGTTTTCACCCAATAGTCGAGGGTTAAAAGCAGCTCTCACGCGGAACGCTGACTGCCTTTTGAGTGAACAATATGACAATAGACCCGGGTGTCCATCTGCCGGTCTGGGGATAACACACAGCAACAAGAGAAAGATACTGCCACCCTCCTCTACCGCCACTAAACTCCCCGTGCAAAGACACTCACAGCGAGAGAGGGTGAGGAGAGAACCCCAAACTCCATCTCACACACTCCAGATAAATTAGAGAGCCGCTCTTTCTCCAGCATCCTCTGTATTTCTGACCTACAGCGGTATTTTGTGTTTACAAAGCTATTAGTTCCCTTTGTTTGGGTCAAGGGGACCGTTTTGTTTAAGAAACAGCTAGGCAGCCGGACCAGCTTCTTTTATCCCAGGGCATATGTAAATTTCGGTTGAAACTCGGACTTCACTCCAGTGAAATGTTCACCTCAAACACGCGGCTTCACCATCCCCATTCAGTTTCATAGCCGAGATTCCAAAACCCCGCTACATTTTAAAGAGCTCTGGATCGGGGTTTTGCCCTCTCGAACCCGGCTTTCTTTGCATTTGAGAGAAAGCGGGGAGGGGGGGGGAAGCGCGTTACCTTCTGTGTGAAACTGTGTGCAACTCCGAATACTTCTCTGTCCTTTGTACACACGCTAAAAGAGGACAAAGGCTGATGTTGCTCCTGCTGCTCGGCTCTCTCCCTGTCTAACTAACCCCAGACCTAGTGCAGCGTGCTCTCCCCTCCCTCTGTGTGTCAGTCCCTGCCTCGGGCGGGGTGTGTCTCACTCAGGCTCTACGCTAATCACCTTCTGCTGTTGCTCTCCCCGCCTCCTGCTCCAGCACCGCGCACCAGGTGAGGGCAGACTACTATAGCCGGGGGCAGACAGAGAGAGGGAGGAAAAAGGGGCTACAGAGGCGACACAAGTAAAGGAGCAGGATGTCACTGGTGAAGAGATAAGCGGGAGGTAAGGCTTGAGAGATCTGCAATCCCACTCTGGCGATTTAAATGGCAGAAATCCCTTTCGGATTTATAACGGCATTTATGCTTTTGCCACTGCAGTGAATGGGAACAGAAGAAACATTAAAGCTGGGACCCCCGCCCCGCCATTATCCATCTGGATGAATTCTCGGAGTTCGTATCAGCTATGACTAAGCGCGCACACACAAAAAAAACTGTGGATTGACAGGGAATGCTGCGCTGACAGAGGTGCAGTCCTTAGGAGGAGCTGATTGTGGCCCAGATTTTGTGATGGGCAGATTGGCGTTGGAGCAGTGCAGCCTGGAGTTAACGCGTTGGACTGTGTGTAATGCCAGACACAGTGGGAGTTGAGCGGGAAGTTGAATTTTCTGATGGGCAATGTTCCTGCATCTGGGAACCCTCGGAAAGAGTCCGTTAAATGCAAAGAATGTAGAGGGTTCCAACTCAGTGACCCTAATAGTTACCCAGGAAAAGTTAGAGGATTAAAACTCCTGAGTAATTATTCAACTGAATGCCTAACTCACTGTTCACCTTCCCCCACAACTATACCACTCCCAACTTCTTACAATCCTAGCCTCACCCGCTCCTCCCAGCTCCTGACAACCCCTAATCCCTACACCCCCCCTTCCCCAAACGCAACCTGTTGATCAAACACCCCTCACCCTCAAACTATGGCATTACCTCCTGCTGGAATTAATAACACCTCCCTCACACACTTTTCCCCCTGTCACACCTGCCAGTCTGGCATTCCCAGGCAAGGTCACTATTCCTGTGCATGCCCACCTCCTTGCCATTTCCTCCTAGAACTTCGTCACTTACCTGGCACCCTAACCCCATAGCCAACTGTCACCATAACCCACCCTTACCTTTTCAGAGGAGCTGTAAAGGTGGCTGTGCTGCTGGACATTTTTATGACAGAATACAGCACACTGACTGCTGCAAAAGGTGGTATGGTTTCTATGAAGATCGTTTTCACTGCTGGATTCATCGATATTTCCTGTAACACGATGCTCCTGTCAAAAAATCTCCAGTGCAGAAGCCATCAGAGGATCAACGGGTAATTTTAAATCCGAGCAGGGATGGAAATAATGTTTCCAACTGTGATCAAAATATCTGGACCATTGATCTGATACTCCATCTTCTCTCTGATTCCATTGTAATGTACTGAAGAGGAGTAGAGGTTTTATCCCTGGAGTTCTGGCTGATATTAATCACTCATTTACCATCATTGAAACATATCATCTGGCCATTATTGACAAAGCTTTTTATGAGAGCTTGCTGTGCACAAATTTCCTGTGTTATTCATCTGTTGCAACACAAGTGACTACACTTCAAATATGTTTATTTAGCTTTAAAACACTTTGCCAAATAGCATTATATAAATTGAAGTCTTTTTCTAAACCTAAATGTAAATACATTCACTAGCCCTTTGGACTTTTTTTAGGTCAATGTTTCCCCTTTGTCTCTTTTCTTTCACAGAGGATTCTGAAGTACAGCATGCTTTCCAAAATTTTGTCTGTTTCTGAGTCTCCACCTTAAATGTCAGTAGGCAGTTTGCTCCTGAAGTGCGTCACAACTCAGTCTGATCTTGACAATACAGAACAGGGAAGCTCTAACCCAATCTGTTTTCTCATCTTCCATCTACTAACTGGAGGAAGGCCAGTTGTTACATCAGTGTCACCAACCTGGCTGAGATTTGCAAACAAAAGAGAGTAAGAGACCAATTGGTTCACTGAGCTAAAGGAATATTAGGGAGCTGTAAAATCACTCAGTGTCCTACAGTAATATTTATAGGAAACTCCCCTGGCCTCCAATTAAGTTGCTTGGGATTCCTTGGGACTACATCATTCAAATTCTGATTGTGAAAACCTACGGAGTCATTAAATTTGAAGGAAAATATATAGAAAATCCTGAGATGTAATCTGAATTGTTTAAACTGGCACACTTCAATTTTTAATTAACAAAATACTCTTAGAATACAGAAAGATGAATCACAGAAGAGGCATTTTACCCATTAAGTCTGTCCTTGTCGTTAAAGAGCTATCGAAATTAATTCCACCTACAACATTTGGACTGTAGTCCCGTAGGTTATACATGGCACCTCAATTTCTTGTCCGATCATTTTTTAAACACAAGGACAATGTTGTCTCCAGCACCCTTTCAGGTGGCGAGTTCAAGGCCTTTTGAGTGAAAAAAAATACTCCCCAACCCTAATTCTTTCACTAATTACTTTGTCATTAACAATCTAACCCTCCTACTTATTGACCACTCTGCTAAATCTGCAGATTTTTCCTATGCACTCTGTCGAAATCTCACTGTAAATATATACACTTCAACTCAACCTTCCCTCAGCCTTATCTCATCCCAAAAAATGGCCCATTAAAAATAATATCAATGTTTTCCTTTTTGTCAAAATTCTCCATTCCTGGCAACATTCTTGTCATTCTCTTCCAGATCATCTCTAACAATGTGATACCTTTCCTGTAACATGGTGGGCAGAATGACGGCCCATATGCAGCTGAAACCTAATCCATGTTTTAAGGAGTTATGGCTTTTTTTTTGTTCACTGGAAGGAGTCACCGGCTGGGCCAGCATTTATTGGCATCCCTAACTGCCTTTGAGAGGGTGGTGGCAGTTCCTTCTTGAACTGCTGCAGTTCATGAGCTGTAGGGAGAACATAATCCCTGAAATAACAAGGTGCAGAGCTGGATGAACACAGCAGGCCAGGCAGCATCAGAGGAGCAGGAAAGCTGACGTTTCAGGTCTGGACCCTTCTTCAGAAGTGGGAGAGGGGAAGGGGGCTCTGAAATAAATAGACAGAGGGGGAGGCGATGATAGAAGGTGGATAGAGGAGCAGATAGGTGGAGAGGAGACGGACAGGTCAAGGAGGCAGGGATGAAGCCAGTAAAGGTGAGTGTAGGTAAGGAGTTGGGATGGGGATTGGTCAGTGAGGAGGGAGGGAAGACAGACAGGTCGAGGAGGTGGGGGTGGGCATTGGTCAGTGAGGTGGGAGGTGTGGATAGATGGGAGAAAAGATGGACAGGTCAAGGAGGTGGGGATGAGATGGGCTGGTCTTGGGATGAGGTCGGGGGTGGGGAGATTTTGAAGCTCGTGAAGTCCACACTGAGACCATTGGGCTGCAGGGCTCCCAAGCGGAATATGAGGTGCTGTTCTTCCATCCTTCGGGTGGCATCGTTGTGGCACTGGAGGAGGCCCAGGATGGACTCGTCGTCCAAGGAGTGGGAGGGGGAGTTGAAGTAGTTTGCGACTGGGAGGTATTGTCGTTTGTCACGAACCGAGCGTAGGTGCTCCACAAAGCAGTCTCCAAGCCAGAGTCCCCTCCCACTCCTTGGACAACATGTCCATCCTGGGCATCCTTCAGTTCCACAACAATCTGCTCCTCTATCCACCTTCGCCTCCCCCTCTCTCTATTTATTTCAGAGCCCCCTTCCCCTCCCCCATTTCTGAAGAAGGGTCCAGACCCAAAACATCAGCTTTTCTGCTCCTCTGATGCTGCCTGGCCTGCTGTGTTCATCCAGGTCTCCATCTTGTTATCTCAGACTCTAGCATCAGCAGTTCCTACTATCTCTGATAATCCCCTAAATGCTCTTTTACTCCAAGCCTCAGGCAATAAAAGGAAATATTCTGCATACCTGCTTTATTATTTTATGTATCTGTCCAATTACCTTCAAAGATCTGTAGCCATGCACTCCCAAAATCTCTCTATTCCTCTACATTTCTCAGAATTCTACCACTTATTGCACACTGTCTTTTTCCTACCCAAAAGCAGGACATCACATTTCACTGAACTGAACTCTATTTGTCACTTTCTGACCACATGTTAAGTGCTTTGATACCTTCACGCAGTCTACAACTGTCCTCCTCACTATCAACCAAATGGTCAATTTTTATATCCTTTGCTATCCTCTTAATCATACTCCCTACAGTTAAGTCTGAATTGTTGATACGTACCATAAATCAGAAAGGACTCAGTACTGAAGTCTCTTCAAACCCACAGAAACAGCATTCTAGGCACAAAAATATCTATTGATCATAAACCTTTGCTAAGCTAATTTTGGGTGCACTTTCTCTTGGATCCCATGAACTTTTAATTTATTAACCAGTCTGACCAGTTCCTTTTTGTCAAAAGCCTTGCTAAAATGCATGTAGTCTAAACAAAATGTGCTGCCCTCAAACTTCTTTCTCAGTTTCCCAACAAAAAAATCAAGTAGGTTGATCAGACATGACTTTTCCTTCACAAATCCGTACTGAAAGTTTTCTCTAAAGTGATGTTTTAAATCATCTCTTCAAAATAATTTCCAAAAATTTGCTCACCACTGAACTTGGCTGTCTGGGCTGTAATTATTTTTTCCAAATTTTGCTCCTTTTCAAACAATGTTAGTTATCCCCCAATCCTCTGGCACCATACCTGTAGCTGCACAGGATTGAAAAATGATGATTCAAGCCTTATTATTTCTTCTTTTGCTTCCCCTAACAGTCTATGATATATCTCATTCTGTCCTCTTGATTTACCATGTTTAAAGATGCTAAGCACTTTAATGTCATCTCCCTCACAATATTTATCCCATTCAATTTTCATATTCTCCTTCCTTCATCGCATTGCTGAATTCATTCCATTCTTTCATGAAAATTGATTCACAGTATTCTTTTTTCTCAAAAAATGCCCACGTTTTGCACCTCCACAAACAAGTTGCCTTTGTGTTCTCATCTTGGACATTTTTTTTTCTTTA